CCTCTTCCGCCCACGCCCTGCCCCCGCTCCTGCCTCCACTCCCATCCTGAATGCCTCCCCGACCCCTTTCCCGCCCACGCTCTGTCTCTCGCGGCTGACAAATAGCGCGGCTTAGCATAAAATGAACAAGGATTTATAATTTGTATTTATTAATGTATTTACTTATTTAGCTTAAACATCTACAAAAACTGTAAGTTACATACCATGTAAGAGAAATACAATTTATGTACGTTTTCTTTAGCTCTCAAATCCCTACCCTACGACTTATATAAATTAAATTACGAATGCAGATAGAAACGAGCGTTTTGGTAAGAATGGCACAAAAATATTCACTTCAATGTGATAAAAACTATTTGCAAAGTGAATTAGCTACTTATTTGGGGTGTTATCTCTTATCGCACCCTAAATGAAGGAGTCGACTGACTGACACGAGAAAACCGAGAACGATTATTTGAATAACTACACTCTCTACACAGTTCAATGATGTTTCACATTGGCAACTGTTTTTAGCTCTACAGTTGTCGCGCCACATTTTGACGCACGGTAGATAAATCAAATTCATCTCTATATAAAAGTACTTAGAAAAGGCTCAGTAGTTTTAATAGTTATTTATGACAGGAATGGCGAGAGAGGTACTTTATTTTGCAAGTAGAAAATGTTATATGACGAGGCCTAATGACCGAGTGACGCAATCGTGGAAGCGAAATAAAATCCTATTTTACCATGTGCATCATACACTGTATTTTAAACAGCCTTACACACTTTCATTCTATTTTCGTTCACGCACACACATCACTTAATTGGGGACTATGTTATGTTTAGGGTCAACTAGTGGTAGACATTTAGTTTTTAACAAACTTGGTTTGTCCTAAAATTAGCCACATTTTCTGGTGGCTGTGTTGAAATGTAATAAAACGTTTTATGATGTGTTGTCAAACTACGATGGAACTACGCCTGAGAAAGTATTTTTGTCTAATTGATGCTACTTGCCATCAACTGGAAATCAAACGCGACTGTACTGAAAGCAACTTGAATACTACTCTGGCGTTTTTGTGACTTCTTTTGTAGTAATCGTAGCAATTTTACGAATACGCATTAATAAAAAAATGCAGTTTATGGAAATGCTATTTTTAAATATCTCGAACACACTTTATCAAGAACAGTTTTTATCATATGTAACCAGAACATCACGTGACCAGTTATCACTCATATGTATTATTGCATTGTAAAAAGTACAGAAGAAACACGAATAAAAGATAATGTGATCATCAATATATAAAAATAAAGAATGTGTATTTGCTCGTACGTATTTTCTCTAGTTAATACACCCACATCTATTTCTTACACTAGATAATACAAAATTATATCGAAAAATCATACATAAATAAAAAAATCGTGTATCTGACTCAAAAGTAGTTTGTAATAAAACACAATGGAAAGTTAATGCTCCAGAAGAGACGAACAATATTTTCTGGCAATACCTCTTGCCTTTATTTGTGTTGCATATGTGTGTAGAATGGAATAGATGGGTTTGGCCAAACATTCTGATGGGATATTATTCATTCTTCTTGTTCATGGATTTTTATGGCAAATTTGTTGGTTGTCTTATGTCACTTTTTCACGAGGATGTTGCATTGCGTTCTCAAGAGATTATACTTGGCCATTGAATGACAATTATCTTGTCCTTTTTTAACTTAATTTTTATTTGAGTGGAGGATTCATTTAGATCATTAGTGTGTTGAAGTATCCATTTTCTGCCTCAACTATTGAGCGACATTTTTAAACTTGTTATAAAAGATAGCATAAAAAATGAAATTTTCGTTTAAGATAACTTTCAATAGTCATCATTGCCATATCAGTTCTATGAAAACTTGTTAAAATCGATAATAAACAACATTTGCTTCGATATTTTCACTGAGCTTTCCCCTGAAATTGGATTAACTGCTTAGAGCTCATCTGATGTAAAATGTGCTGAAACTGCCATTGACGATCATTTGGCGAAAATACTCAACACGTACAACATTGTATATGGAGTACATCCATAACGCAATTGTCAACAATACATACTATTTATCCTAACATGATTATCAGGCTTAACAATGTAAGTCAACGATGCAATTGACGTATAACAACGTATCTCTCTATTTTATGCATCTCTCCAATCACTGATAAGCAATGTAAATCTATATTTGAATACATTTTTGCTAGACATGATTAGTGCAACAGCCAAAAGAACTTTATAACGTGTCCATTTTTTATTTAAAAGTTTAATGCGTTTATTATAAGCATGAACATTCAATGAAAAACCCAATGATATAAACAATATTTTCAACAAATTATCTATATTTCCCGTAAAATGAAACCTAACAAAATGGATATTGAAGATCACAGCGGACTATCCGCGACACACGGTATGTAAATGTAAAACAATATTTTCAGACTTCAGAAATTACAGTTGATACTTCCTCTCGCACATTTGTTCAAAAAAACTCTGCAACGGCAAGGTCTGACCCTACATTATGAAAGAAACCCTGACCAACAGGATCGCTCAGTTTGGGGTCAATTACTGTGGGTCCGGATGCCTGAGCAACAGCGATATTTAGCACAATGATCGACCGCGCAAAAAGGGCGATAGAAAACATGGTAGGAATGCGAAGATGTAATAAATGTGGTCAATGTTCCTGGCTTTGCTGTAATTGAACATTGCTTCTAGCGACAGTAGAAGTTTACTGAGGAGTTGAGGAATGCTGGTCCTTTCAGGAGAAATGAATGGCAATTTCTCTCTCAAAAATGATAATAAAACATTTGTTTGCCTATTCCAAAATTCTCATAGAAAATTTAACAGAAAAAAATCAAGTTATGGATAATTTTTTTTTACAGTTCTTTTTTCCGTTTTGGTAATGTAGGGAATCGAATATCAACGCTGCACCCGCAAATGAAATGTTGAACACATTGTTGGTCCTCAGGAGTTCGCGCATTGTGCACCCCTGTGTAGGGTAATTGCGCTTCCACTCAGAGGTCGCTTGTCCCGACCCCGACAGGTGCATTTGCTCCTCGCGCCCCTTCCACCCCGCTGCCCTGGCTGCCGCGAGCGTGGAATCAGCGTCGTCTTGGAGAGCCGTCCGGCGAGCGCGCCCTCGAAGCCAGCTCCCGCCCCGCGCCCGCCCACAACCCACCCTGCCCCGCACCACGGCCACTCCAACCTCCACGCCCCCCCCCCCGCCACTGGTGGCTCGCCCCGCCCCGCCACGTCCCGCGCCTGCCCTCACTTAACGCCCTTCGCCTCTCGTTTCCACGCACGACCCGCTCCTCCCTCACCCCGCCCTCAGCAACCACCTCTCCGACTATCACCCGCCCCGCCACCCTCCACCTTCCACCCTGTTCCCCATCCAGCCCCCCCCGCACTCACGGTACTCTTCCTCCCCACCTTCCCTCTCCATCCCACTTCGCCGCGCACGCTTCCGACTCTGGCCATCCGACCCCTCTCCGTTGAACCCTCCATCCCGAACACCACACCACGCGACTCGCCAGGTCCACTCTTAAGCAGCATGCACTCTCAAACACTCGTTACCCACGGTTTCAGGCCACATCACCGCAAGAAGGCCGTGTCCCTTTACGTCACGGGCCACTCCCCACCACGCAACCCTGCTTCGCCGCGCTCCGCCACACCCCCCAAGCCTTCGCCTTCCCTGCCTAAGACTCCGCTTCTTCTCATTCCCCACTGCCCTCAGTGTGGCCACCCACCCGCTCTATAGGTCATTCCCCCAACCTCACCTCACTCCTTCCACCGCCCTCCCCGCCCCACCCACAGCGTCCGCTCGCCACCTCGCGCCCCGCGTCGCCCGCGCCGCCCGCGCCGCCGCCCACGCTGTGCATGGCCGACCTCCGGCCGCGCGGCGGCGAGAATGCGCGCCCCGCGCATTTATAGCGCAAAGAAGGCGCCCGCAGCCATAATTAGCCGCACCGCTTTCGATCCGCGAGTGGCCCCGTTTTCTGGGCGGCCCCCGCCCTGCCCAGGCGCCCCCTCCTCCTCCTCTGCCTCACCCCACCCGCCCACTCCGTTGGACCAGCCCCGCACCGCCAGCCCCATCTTCGCCGGACCGCCCCGCGCCCCTCTCCCTGAAGGAACGCGTCTTCCTGCTTCGACTATTTTTAATTACTGTCTCAGGAATATCCCTTTCATGTGTCAAGTCGTATTATGTATTCGTACTTTCTTGTGACATACTTCATAATACTACATGTACTACTTTATTATAACGTACTACTTGTACAACGTTTGTGAAAATGCGTAGTCATATTTTGAGAACGTACAGCTAGTCTTAACGGTAAAATATAGCAGGATATTTCATAGTCTGAATAATATTCTTTAAGTTCCCTATAATTTTAATCAAATTTGATGGTAATGAAGAATGTACTGGTGCACCGTAACCGATATTCCTCATCCAGTCTCTCTTTGAAATTACTAATTTCTTGGGAAACGTTATTTACGGGGCACCCAGAACGCCAAAGTTTGTCGCCGCTCTTTATACCACTGACTATCGTCAGCGAAGAACCGGCGCCGACATGTTCCATTAACACCGCGCATCTTCTGAGTTTTTTTCTGCCGAACACTCAACCAGCAGAATACCCAGAAATATCCACTCCTATCGCTTGCCTTCACTTTCATTCATTCACGTCTCAAACCAGATTTCATTCGCAGAATTTCCTTAGTTCCTATTCGGGCAGCCTTCCTCAGCGCCGCGTTCTACCCATGAGCCTATGAGGCATCTCTTTCGAATTTTTCTTCCTCTTTCCTCTCGCAACCTCGGCTCTTTAGCCAGGCTGTTAAGCTCTCTCCTTTTTTGAAATCTCGCAAATTACTTTTCTTTCAGCCTCTTCAAAACGTAGGACTTGTCGAACTTTCATGAATCCATCGCATTATCTGGCTTTA